GATGTCTTCCGCTATTTCGTAACTTTCAGTGTCCATGTTTCTGCAGTCTTTGGTGTTTCTTTATTTGTAGACTGACTTTTCTTTCTGTTTCACCATTCTCCTTCTGCTCACAGTTTGCGACACACTCACAAGCAGTCCAGTTTGCCAACATTCTCGTGTTGCGTCGGCAGGCTGGCCGAGAGTGTTGTGCTTTCTTTTGTTATCATCGTCATATTACATTGTCTCATTTTTGGCTCAATTCACACGAGGGCAGGTGCTGATTTTATTTTCATAATAGCCCAATTGAAATCTGCTCCTCAGGATCTTTACCCTCAAAGGTCGGCTCCACCAGAAGACGACGGCGGATTCTTTTTTGACCAACTGTCGATTTGGCTTTACTGGAAGATTCATGTTGAAGCAATCGCCTTCGATTCCGGTCATGTCATGTGGCGGACATCATCGGAGCGAGGTATCATCGTCACAACCAAATTCATGCTAACGATTTGATAAAACTCACTGGCAAATGCCTCTTCGTTCCAGAACTACTGGCTCCAGTTTCAACTGATAACTACATGGCTCTATTCTTAGTTCAGATGCTTGCGTGATCATTTTGCTATCTTGCAGCATGGCAAAAAGAGTATTTTGATGACTTGCTCAGTTTAATGAATAGAGTCGATACGGCGACTAAATTCACTATGGAGTTAGAAAAAGAGAATTATTCACCCTTTTTACATGTCCTAGTTGGCAAAGCAGCCAGCAAACTGGGCAGAGATGAATATCGGAAGCCAACAAATGCTTGTCTCCTTCTTAATTTCTCCTCGAACCACACTTACGGTGATATGAAGACCAAGATGTTGTGGCCTCTGGTATGGTGGCAGTCTCCTTTCGATTTGTACGAGTGCGCTGACCTTGTTGTCGTAACATGGTCTTGTTGTCAGGGCAACCAGAGCTAGGCGTCCACAGTTGGCTCAGATGACATGGGTTTAAGCAAGCAGACGAGCCGTGAAGGGAAGGCCTGAAATGTGCAATCAGAGCTTAGGCGCTCTGCTCTGTGAGGAAGGTGGCGGTGTACGTGCTTCTAGGGCGTTGAGAAATAGCGCCTCGAGTGAAACGCCTTCTGGGACTGGAACCGAGTGAACTCGGTCAACCAGAAAGAGAAGGAACCGATCTACTGGAGCATGAGGGGATCCGGATTGTAGGGCCCGAGTCAGATCTGCCGATCGGAAGAGAGGGGTCGGGGTAGATAGCGAGTGTGATGGGGCCACAAAAGGGTACACATTTTGACGAGTGGATTGTAAACAAGTGACAAGTTGTGGGATGAGAGGGTAAAGAGTGTATAGATAGGCCGGGACAGAAAGAGGAGTGAGAGTGTAACCGTTTTCAGCAGAACGGTTGTCGAGGGATTGACTTGACTTGTCTCTTTGACGAGTTGGTAGATTGGTGCGGAGAATGGTGAAGCTCACTGATGATGCCGGCGAAACGTTTGAGAATGTACCAAGTCCACTGTCTGATGCTGGGAGTCATGACAACTATTATGGCCGACGACTTCGGACTAGGTGCATTCTACATAGTCGCCCTGACAACAAGACCAAGTTGCGACAAAGAGGTCAACCCACTTCCATACTTGTGGTTTTAAGGTGGGCGTTATTAAATCAATGAAAATAAGGAGTTTACGCCCGGCGGACGTAAATCTTCAAGAAGAGGATTTAGAAAGGCAATAAAAAAAATCTTAGTTTGGAACAATAGTCCAGTAGGATTAATTGTTAACAATTTCAAAACCATTATTTTGGTGAAAAAAGGGAATTGGACAACTCTTCGTCCGGGTTCCTAATGCTACCACCCTGCAAGCCTTCAAGAAAGATAGGCGAATTATTGAGGAAATGGAATGTCAAGACAAGGCATAAAGAAGGAATAACGCTTTCCTCGATCAGGCCTTCTTTAATGCAATCTTCCGACGTCCTCTGCAGATCGGGTTGCTATTCGCTTTTGTGCTCATGTGGTAGTGTTCATGTGGCGGAGACTTGTCGAACCATACCGAAGAGGCTATCAGAACACAGAACCGCCAGCAAATGGCTATGGATGCAGAACTCCGAAGTGACTGAACATGTCGTCGCTACGGGACACCGGATTTGGCGACTTGACAGAAAAAACAAAAAAAGTTGGGTTTCGAGGAATCTCTCGTTGCATAATTGTTGGGTTTACTTTCATTTCGAGTAGAAGTGTTTGGTGAAGAGATTCGAAGGTCGGTTCCACCAAAAGACAACGGCGGATTCCTCTTGACCAGCTGTCGATTGGCTTTATTGGAGCATTCATGTTGACGCTGTTTCCGAGACAATCTCCTTTGACTCCGGTGAAAAGGTGTTTCTTCTTCTGGTGCAACCGACCTTCGAATCTCTTCACCAAACACTTCCACTCGAAAT